TGCAACAGTAGAAGGATACTTTTTAATGGAATGCAGAATAAATATGCACGTGAATCATTAATTAAATTAATATAATTATGTGATTTTCCAAAATAATTAAATGGTTAATTAATGTGTGATATTTTTAATTACCCAAGCCATAGTTATTAATGTTTCCAAAAAGGTAACTAATAATGAATATTCTTTTTCAGCAGTAATTTGATAAACTGGAGTGTGAACATGACATGGTGTGCCGTCTGGTAATGCTTCAATTTTTATTGGAAAATAACCATCATTTTCTTTAATAAACTGTGAGAAAAATAAATATACATTATATTGAATAATTATATCATGGAAGTTAAATTGATAAATAATAAAAATAAAGGTAATAATAACAACCTTGAGAATTAAATCCTTTGGAAAGGGAAAACTTGTATAACCGGCATTATGTGTAGCAAAAAATTTTTCTGCCAATTCAACGTCTTTTAAAGTCCATTTAATAGCAACATAATTTTCAATTCTTTTTATTTGGAGAGGAAATCAAATTAGACCAACTAAAATATTATTACACTAATTATAAACTTGATAAAAATTTTTGATGGATACGATTACTCATACATGTATCTGATACCATAAAAAACAACACGTGTATCTTCTTTATCACCATTGTAGCCTTTTCTAAATTCGCCATATGCAACACACTTTTATGACACAATATTTTAATATAAAAGATTTTATTTATTAATTTATATAATATAAACATAATTGTTTCCGCACCTTTTTGGCATCAGGATACATTAATGTATGAGATGTTTTATATGAATCAGTTAAGACTAATAATGGAATGCCTAGCAAGCCTGACATTTTAAAAATTTTTTACGGTGTACTCAAATATCTAAAAAAAAAAGAGAGAATTCATTTTATCGAAGTATTTGGAAATTGAGAATTCGAAATCCCGCCCCCTTCAGATTAAATTACGTCATGCTTGTTGCATATCTATTACAAAGACGAAAATCTCTTTTTAAATGAATTTTTTTGAGTTAATAGCGATAAATATTAAACCGCTAGCCAATACTGTATAAAGATTTGCATTTTCTGATGTCGAATAATATTAAATTGATATAATTGATATAGCATCAGAGTTATAAACATGAGTACTGCAAAATTTTTTCAACCCCATTTATTTTAGTTGATAATCGGGTAAATTTATGGATTTGATAATAACTAGGTCTAACTAATTACCTTTTGTATTTCCGTTTCCTACCATTGAGCACAAAAATTAGGATCAACAAAACTAAAAGTAAAGGCACTGAAAGTCGTGCAAATATGATGTAAAGAATTATTAAACTTAAAAAATAACATTATCGCATCGTTTCTAAATTTGTAGGGTGTTTCCAGTACTTTTATCCCATCACGGGCACAACGGGTATCATCGGTTTTTAATATACTTTGTCTTTCGGTTAGCAATTTTTATAATATATAAAAAAAAGGTAGAGCTTTAATAAACAAATCATGAATAAGATATATTTGATATTCCTAGAAGATGAAATAATACCTCTAAAAGGGCACCAAATCTTGAATATTTAATAATTCCCATCTTTCTGAATGTGATATGGGAATTTTAAAGTAAAATATTTCATAAATTTTTATATGATGAATATCCGCAAAATATACTGAATTAAATATTCTCTAAAAACATAAGAGTTAGATCAGTTAGTATCTTATAATTAGTATAAATATAATATACTTGTTGTATCCATGAATTCCAACAGATTTAAATTTCTTCACCGTGGTAGTTGTATAATCGCCATTTTGTGTAAAATGATAATTCAAATCGTCCAATTCATTATGTGCTAGTTTTAAAAAAATTCTAATTGGTATGATAGTACAAATTCCGTAGGTCCATACGATTGTTCATATAGAATCGTTGCATTTTTGTCTTGGTATCGTTTTTGCTTGCATGTCCAACTTGGGGTTTTTGTATATAATCCTATACGCTCTGTCATTATGTGCTTCATACCACTATAACCAGAAATAAATTGTAAGAAATGACACGAAAAAATTATATACAACACTTACAACATAATTCCAGAAATTGTCTTCCAAAAACAAATCAAGTATATGGTAAACTGTTAGAATAGATCAAGTTTTCTCATCTCCACCCACTTACAAATCACCATAATGTTAATAAAGAGAAAATGCCTGCAAATCCATATTAACAATAAATTCACATCATAAATGAGTGACTTTTCTACCTTGGAAAATGCGTTTTATCAGCTATTACGTCAAATAGCCATTTGCATATTCTTTGAAAAGTTCCCTAAATGAATATATGTTACAACTTTTCAACTCAAGGAATTTTGTTTTTCAATATTAATCTATATAATAGATTTGTTCTCAAGTCAGTTTGATCCGGGGAAGAAAATATCCACAGAATTGAAAAAAAGTACTCGCCTTTTGCGTCTTTTGGGAGGCTTTTCCTTCCAAAAAAGGAAACATAGATATTAACAACATTCCCAATCAGGCATCGTAGAGAAAATCAAAGTCTGGCTTACTACATACCCGAGCATCTAAAGAAGATTTATTGTCCTCTTCTTCGGAAGTAAGCTCATAATAATCCGGAATTTTCCTCCCGCTTCTATGATGACTCATCATGATCATGATTTTTGAGACCTATATGTTGAAAAGAAAAGTAAATTTACTACGCAGAACATCAAATTTTTAAAATTTTTGAATACTCAAGTGATAGCAAGTGTTGTTGACCTGTGATAAGTGTTTTGAAGGGCTTGTTTGATGGCTGCCTGAGAAACGATTTGTAACTCTGATAGTTGTAGTTCTTACACATGTCTTTATCTATTGACTCATTTCAGTGGCTACAGCAAGGCCGTAGTCAGTCTATTCATAACAAAAAAACCAGCAATTAGTGGTTTGGCAAAAAATCAATTAATATGTGCAAACAAATTGAAAATGTTTAGGAAACTAGCATCTACATATTTGATTATGTCATCACAGAATTTTTTGTTGATTGACTTCCAAAAAGTATCTATAAAAGAAAACAAAATAATAGCTTTTTTTTTTGAAACTACCATATAACCCATATAACAAAAAAACAAAGTGAACCATAACTTGATGCAACAGCCAGCTGGTACATACGCATCCGATTGCGTTATGGCAGTAACATATTAATATGTCTATTCAAAAACACCGGTGGGGGAGCGACCTCCACCAGTGCATAGTAGCTAGCTATTTGGGGTTTGTCAACACGTCAAGTAAAGTGTCTTTGGACCGGAACGTATTCTAGTCCATTGAACCCCAATCATCTCACTCAGTGGTAACCAGCATATACTTAACTTCAAAAACCGGAAAAGGTAATCTCGAGAGCTTGAACATTATCTATTGCCAATATGTCCAAAGCTTTTTCATACAAACCATGCTCCTTTCTCTTATCGTATGTGAAAACGTCGGTTTCTGTTCTAAATTTCAGGAAGAGTTTTTTATTACTTCTTAACTTGTGATAGTAGTTTTCATCACTAAAAAGATTTGATCTAATTGATCAGTTGTGCAACTGGTTCCTAGCGAGTTATTGGTCAAAATAATTCATCCAAAGGCTCAACTCTAGTAAATTCATTTATTAATAATTGTTATAATTGTTGATTAAAGATTAAAAAAGCTATTTTTTATTAATTATTTTACTATTACTAATTAATGATTTTGCTGTAATAAAAAAAATTATATAAATTTGAGTATATATATATATATATATCTAAGATATATCTAACGTCTAAATTAAATTGTTTTTTTCTAAAAGATTTTATGATTTCATTTTTTCTTTAAACTAGCAAGTAAAGGATGCATTCTTATTTCAAATTCTTTTTCTGTTCCAAAATATTCAATAACCTATTCATTATAGAGGAAAGAAATATAAACGTTATACCTAATTCCTTAAATTTTGAAATAAATAAATGCATTATATCTATATTTACCCTACTAACGAACTTTAATACAAATTCTGAATACATATAAACAAAGTTCTCACTTCCTGTGATAGTATTTGTTTTTGGTCTAGTGATATGTTCGCATAATTTTAATCCTGTCTCTACTAACGCAGATGCAAAATTTTCAATAATTTTTAGATAATTTTTTTCAAAATCTGTGAAATTATAAGTGTGTTGATGTTGATGTTGTTCGTTCATGATAATGTTATTATTATTAGTTATCTTTTTTTGCTTTTTGACGGGATCAAAATATTGTTCATCCATATCTTGAATTATTCGTAAATAACATAATAAATGACTAATATTCTCACAAATATGCATCATTCTAATTTCCACACTGCGTACTTTACTCTCCATTTTATCAATTTGTGACAATCCCAAATTGACATATGAAGTTGCTAGCATGATACTGGATAATAATAATTTCGTATTTGTTGAGCCAACTAATTCTACTGCATTACCAATTATTTTGATACAATTCATAATATCTTCCATCACCTATTTTTTTGAAAAAAAAAACAAATAAAATGAATAAATAAATAATTAAAACATAATAATTATAATCATAAATAAATAAAGTATATAGTACCTTTGTAACTTGTGTATCATTACTAATTAACAATTGATGTAGTTGTTCTTTGTTCAATTCATTATTCATTATTTCTGAACAGTGGAAAGCTAATCCTAACAACCATTGTTTAGTTGAATTAGACCAATTCTCATCAATTGGAAATCCTAATGCCTTCCAACTCAATCCTGATTGTTTTATAACATCTCCATATAAAGATCTTTTAAATTCCAAGACTTCTTGGATTTGATTCAAATTTGACGATATGTCTTCACTTAATTGAGGAAATTCTGATTCGACTGTTATTTTCATGTCTTCAACAATTTCAACATATTGTACTATATTTTCAAACCCTTTTCCCAACGTTGACCATTGAGGAAACATTTGCTAATAAACATCAAATAAATCAATTAATAATATATATTAATTTATTTATTTATAACATAAATAATTCGTCGTCTATTATCATAATCGACTTACTATGAACGGTTTAAAATAATCACACCTTATCCAATCAGCGTTAATCAAAAATCTGTCAGTTAAATGCAAGATTTCATTATAACAGCGTGGAAGGGAATTGTGAAGAACGAATAAAGATGTTTCCATATCATTTATTCGTTGTTGAAATTGCATTTGAAAATCCTGTATAGTCATGTTTTTTTTTATTGCTTGTAATTCGAACCAATTTGTTGTTGTTCTGGTAGACGAACGACACCAATTACTCTCATGGTCGTTATCATTGTGATATGATATTATACGACGCAACAATTGAAGTCTGGCTGGTTCATGGATTAATTTATTATCTTCGTGATCGCTGTGATAGTTATGATTATGATTATTATCAGTAATAACATCCATGTCTAAAGTGGTGTTCTTATTATGAAGTAAATGAACTGTATGTTTTTTAATATGACGTTGTTGATGATGATTATGATGGTGGTGATGGTGGTGATGACGTGGTAATGAAATATTAGAAGGGATAAATAAAGAGCTGGGATAAGAAGTTTGTTGTGGTTCATCGATAATAATGTTCGATGATGAAGATATTGCTGTTTCGTTTTCTTCATTTATTTTATCATCTTCTGAAAAGGAAAGACTTCTTGCCAATTTCAAAGATAAAGAATTTGAAACCTTTAAAGATTTGAAATTTTGTTGATTTTCATCTTCACATTTTCGTTTTAGAGATGATAAACAACTTAATGACATCCCTAAATCATCTTGAATTACCGAGCTTGTTGCTATATTGAATAATTGTTTTTTTTTTTTACAAACACACGATTAATACAGTGTTTTTTTTTTTG